ATATGTGATACTTTTTTGTTTTTACTAATACAGTGCCTAGTAATTGATCCTAATATCTAGTTCACTACTCAACCTTCGAATGTGTGTAACTACAAAGTAACAACTTAATTACTTAAGTTTCTCGCACACATAAATAACCAATTATTCATCCTTGGAGTCCTGGACCTTAATTGTTCTAAAAGATCACTTATTAGTATTTTGAACTTTCCAGCTCCATCTCATAATTGCTAAAAAATGAAATACTAAAATAAAGCCTCATGGTGTTTATATTTTTGAATGGATCCCTTGCATCCCCAATAATGATAAAACCTTATAAGTTATCATAGGATTTCAAAGATTTTTCATCCCTCTGTTTCATTTTAATACTTTATATATGATGTGGTAGAATGGTAGAATGGTACAATTTGGGGCAATGCTGGAACAACCACAGAGAAGAAAAGATGTGGTTGTGTGGCAGGAATGAGAACTGTGGTAATGGAAAGTGATTTCATACGATCATACAAATACGAAACAGGGGCAGGATGGCTAGGATTAAGCCGTTTAATACTTAGTGTTTTGACTGACAAGGGGTGGGGGAGTCTTCCCATAATTTCATTTCATTTTTCCGTGGAAAGTTCCTAATAAAATGCAGAGTTTCGTTCCTAATAATTTTGTTTGTAATCCAAATAAGATAAATTAGTAAACCTCTTTCATCCACTTTGTATTGTAGTCTTGTGTTTTTTGAGATATGTTTTCAACAATGAAAGAAAATAGATTGAAGTTTAATATGGTCATATTTGAAAAAAAGACTTTACAGAGTTAGTTTGGCATGAAAGTAAGCTGAATGTAACATTGAAAAAGCACTTGGTCCAGGTGGTACTATCAATTAGGCCAAGGGAAATTACCCTGTCTAAACATTTAAGTAGTTTAAAACACTGGCTTTACTTGATGGTTTCAATTTCCAGGTTGAAGCATTTATTCTTGGAAATAATCAGGACATGCCTAAGGGGTTGGAAAGGGAAAACCGCATCATTCAAACAATAATGAGACAACTGCTATTTGCATTAGATGGTCTTCATTCAACCGGAATTGTCCATCGTGATATTAAACCTCAAAACATTATTTACTCTGAAGGTGATTGTCTTATAAGGATGTTTTCTTTTGGACTGTTTTCAGCCACAGACCAAACCAGACTTCCATAGCTATAAAATACACAGAGACCAAACATTTACCAGACCAAACATTTACCAGACCAGACCAGCAAATTTCACTCCATAAGAAAACATCCTAATTGCTTCGATAGAAGTTCTCATAACGATGGGCATGAAAATTGATATTGATTAATCCGAGCAGGTTCCCGCACTTTCAAAATTATTGATCTGGGAGCTGCAGCTGATTTAAGGGTTGGCATAAACTATATTCCAAAAGAGTTTCTCTTAGATCCAAGGTAACTTGTTACAGAATAAAGAGAGAGAAAGGTGGTGGGAGGAGTTTTCCTTTACATTCTTCAAATATTTGCGTTGAAGTTTCATCGAAGCGTGTGATGCAGTAATGGTGAATAACATGAATTATGATAAGTTTTGATATTACAATATTTGGTTTTTATTAGTTCATTTTCTTCTAATTATTATTTAATTTCCTAGCATTAATTATGAGATAAGTATCATTATAAGATATTGTACATATTTCCTTAGTTAGGTTAATCTAGGCCTATAAAAAGTAATCATATGTTGTATAATGAATTCAAGTGTATAATTAAAGTTTTCGCGTTGTTATCAGAGGAGGTTTTTTCCCTATGTTGTTTTCCGGCTGACTCTTTATACGTCGATTTCTATGCGCCCGTAAGTCATTAGCCTGGTTGCCCATCTTGAAGTCCAATGGCATTGGCTCATGGCCCATGGCCGTGTTAACGTGGTTGTACACCTTGTAGTCCAACCCAGGGGTCTGTGGTTTTAAGTGTTTTTGCCGCAATTGGAGTTTCAGTTTTAAAGGAGAAGATAGTTCGATTTGCAAGTGAGAGGCCTATTACTTTCAAAATGGTCCCGGTTTTCCGCTTAAGAGGAATATTAGAAGCCCACAGAGAAAATTAAATGGACCGCGATGGGTTAACAAGAATGCTTTAAATCAATTTTCTAGTTTAGTTTGACTTAAATGTCTTATTGAGTCATGCCAATCTAGGCCTGAACATCAGTGAAACCTAAAATCCTATAAACCTGCATTGCTCTACTATAACCTCACCAATGCACTTTTCTCCCGCTAGAGCACTTAGTATAATGTGAATAAAAGGTAAACAGTTATTGAAACTAATAACCCCCAGGAATTTAATAGCTGTGTAAAGGATTGCTTTGTAAGTAACTGGTATGTTTGATCCTTTCACAGAAATTGACATTACTATGCTCTCTGGTTTTTCCCCTTTGTCATCCAGATATGCGGCACCTGAACAATACATCATGAGCACGCAAACCCCTTCCGCACCTTCTGCTCCTGTAGCAACTGTACTCTCTCCGGTTCTGTGGCAGGTTCGGCAACTGAAAGGATCTATTTGTTGTTGAAACTAAAACACCTTTTGATTTCATGATTGCTGATATCTTGATACAGTTGAATCTGCCAGACAGATTTGACATCTACAGTGTTGGACTCATATTCCTTCAAATGGTAAGCATAAAACAATTTGTTTACAAGTCATCTGAAGTTCCACACATACATCTGAATGCACACATCATGTGTGTTATAATTGCAACTTGTAGTATTCCAAAAACAATTTCTCTAGTACAATCACATCCTTCTTTTTAATAGGCATTTCCAGGGCTCCGCAGTGACAACAGTCTCATAAAATTCAACCGCCAACTTAAGAGATGTGGCTATGATTTAGTGTCATGGAGAAAAACAACCGAACCTCGTGCAGGCCCTGAACTACAAAGGGGTTTTGAGTTGTTAGACCTTGATGGTGGAATAGGATGGGAGCTATTGACATCAATGGTTCGCTATAAAGCTCGCCAAAGAATCAGCGCAAAGGCAGCCCTGGCTCACCCTTATTTTGACAGAGAAGGTCTTCTGGCCGTGACATTCATTCAGAACCTGAAGCTGCAGTTCTTTAGAGTCACACGGCAGGATTACGGTGAAGCTGCCAAGTGGGTTATTCAACTAATGGCGAAGTCAGGGACACTTCAAAATGGAGGCTTTACGGAAGCTCAACTGCAGGATCTCAGGGTCTGTTAATTTTTCTTCTAAATTTTGTCAAACTCTTAGTTATTTAGACTTAGATATTTATCTAAGAAGCTTATCTAATATGAGGAATAGATGACGATCTTATCTATAAATATATAAAAATGCATTTACCTATTGTGAGATGGCATAACATATTAATAGTGGCTTGATGGAGTACACCATTCTTGAAGTCGTGTGCATGGTGTTGAGCCGGTTGGAGCTTAACATGCTTTGAGAATTTCATCCTAAAAGGCCAATTTGATAAAATCTGTAGTTCAAGATCTTACTATCTTAGACACAACTCTATTTTTTCATAACTGTATGATGTTAGATTTTTAATAGGGAATTTGAGTTTGTACCCCACTTTTTGGGTGATATTGGACTTTGCACCCCAATTTGAAAAAACTTTGATTTTGCACCCCAATTTGAAAAAACTTTGATTTTGCACTCCAACACATAACACTTTGTGAAGAAAATTTTCTAAATGGGGTGCAAAGTCAAAGGATTTTGAAGTGGAATGGGGTGCAAAGTCAAAGTTTTTTCAAAATGGGGTGCAAAGTCCAATATCATCCAAAAAGTGGGGTGCAAAGTCAAATTCACCCTTTTTAATACTCCGTAGTAATTTTACGTGAATTTATAATGTTAAATATTTTTATATAATTTCTATCAATTGCAACGGAGTCAAAGACACTATTTTTTGGCTTGAGAATATGATAGAATAAAGCAAAATGACTCACTAAATTGTTTGTGCTTCGTTGTTATGAAGTAGCAGTCGGTCCATGCAATTTTCGATGTGATTTTCATCATGGGTCATCCGAAAATAGTCTCTCCTTGCTTTAGTACATGAGAGTAAGGCTGCATACATCTGACCCCTCTTATCCCCCTTACCCCACTGTAGGTGGGAGAGCCTTTGTGGCACTGGGGTAATGATGATGATGATGAGAAATATTTTAAAGTTTTGGACTTTCATGCTACTAGACCCACAATAGCATTGATAATGAAGGTGATAGTGATTTAAACTTGGAAAATTGCTCTTTTATATTATTTGTTTGTTTTGCAGGAAAAAGAGTCTAAAATGAAGCTGAGTGCACAAAGAAATGTGCTTTCATCGCCCATTCGGCTTCAGAAGAGGATAATTAGAGCAAGGAATGGGAGTATTGATGAGCTTAAACAAAGAAGGAAAAGCTTGTGGTGGAGCAAATGGATTCCAAGGGAAAAACCAAAACTGTAAATACATAGAGTTCTTGTTTCCTGTTTTCTTGTGTATTGTAATCCTTGTAATGTGCAAACGGCTCTTGATTCTTATTCACAATAATTAGTTTGAATATCAACCAGTAACACTTGTGCCATAACCTCCAAATGAGGAGAGACTTCTTACGTGTTTGCCACTTGAACAAGATAAGCTCAGAGCATTGCGTATTTGCGTACAACTTCCAACTTCTCTAACTACTATGGATGTTATTGGAGGACATCACTCTTGTGTGTTGAGCTGAGCTCTTGCGTGTATGAGTATAATGGGTGCCACTGTGCAAGGATGTATGCTATAAGGCACTAAGCCATCAAATTTCAAGGGAGATTAGTGATAATTTTCCTAATAAAAATTCACTTTGATAAAATAATATATGTTTGAAATTGTAAGTGATATATGCCTGATGTTTAAAACATTTTGTGTAAGATTGGGCAATTATAACTTTTGAGAACTCTCCATTTATCATTAATATAATGTCATGCTAACATTGTGGTAATAAACCCTATCTTTTTTTTCTTCATGCTTCCTCCTAGGCCTAGCCTCCTAGGTGACAACATACAACTATACAAGAGTAGGGGCTCAATTGTAAACTCTAAGCATTGAAGATCAATTATAAACTCTCTAAGCTTGAAGCTCAATTATAAACTCTCTAAGCTTTGAAGTCTTCACATCCCTCTATCACCTCAAGCTTCATCATCCATGTTTCTCTTCCTTCATTGCAATTATGTATGCAACACGTTTCTCAATCTTTCACCCCATACTCTCATCCCCTCTTTAGTCAGTGCTTTATAATATGCCACCATTGCATACTCGGTGATCTACGTCGCCCATCATGTGGCTAACTATCTCTGGTCATTTAGACGTAGGCCAAGAAGCACTCCGACTTCTTCCTTTATGGGTTCTAAGTTTGCATGATCCTTAGGTGATTATTCATTGTTTACTTCTTTGAAGAAGCGTCCTATTGAAGAATGGTTCCTCTCTTAGATTAACTATCATCCAATATGGCATTTTCAATCTCTAATGCAACATTATCTTTAGCAATCTTTTCCCTTGAAGGATAATCTTCTACGGCATACATGGTTTGAGTCCTTTTTAGTCCCTAACAGATTTCTGGGAATGACTTTTAGTTTGTTGTTGCACTATATTCCTACGTTCCTTTTCATTGGGAAACTCGTAACTACTATCCATGATTCAGTTGATCAATTAGTCCACTCTTAGTCTTTCGTGATCCTCTCCCACGATTTCTTCATTAAGGTTCATGATCTTAAATTTGCTACTGCTGTTTGAGATACTTGCAACATCATGTTATGTTAGTCAGTCTTCCCATGTCTATCAATTTGAGATGATTGTTTTTTATATCAAAAGGATGCAATATTGATACATGAATCATTGTTTATGTGATGTTAATATTATTGGTGATAATCTTTTTGTCATTGTGACATTAGGAATATCTCGAAATGATTGAAAGTACTTCTCATACCAGGGTTAAGCATGCTTATATGAGACTAGTCATAGGATGAGTGACCCACTATAAAGTTTCTCAATGTGCACATGAGTGACGATAAAGTCCGTTATAAATGATTGCACTGGTTTGTGAGGATAATACTAAATCTGAATGGGATCGAAAAGTAACTATCTTGGACTCTGTAAGGTCAAGGTGTTACAAATTGATTCTATCATTTCCCAATATGATATCATACAATATATTATACTTGGTCATTGACATGAGTACCATCATTTCTCACCGTCATGACTCTATTTCCCGAGAATTTCAAATTTCATCACTTGCACTCAAAACTACTACATCATTAGCAACAAGTGGTCTATCTCTGAGCCACACATGGGACTCTCATCATCATGCTTTTCTTAGAAATATAGGACCTTCATGACCTCCCAAAAGAATCATGGCTCGACTAGAGGTGATTATAATTGACGTCGTGGAAGGCGTGACCACATTAGGTGCAGAGGTACGAGGTCGCGAGAATAGCGGATAGCTGCAGAGTGGCGACCAACTTTCTCCAGAGATCCTCACATTGAATATTCTAGAAACTTACAACATCTTGTAATTCACTTTTGCCATACTCTCATTATTCCCCATATTCTTTTGGCACTAATTCTAACTCTGCATGCACCACCTAGATCAATTTGTGTACAATTTCATCACATACAAGGCGACAATAATCAAATTCAATATGTCTGGTCTAGTTATGAAAGACATAGTTATTTGTGTTATGAAGAGCTGCAAAGGAGCAGCATCACATCCGTAAGAAATATCCATAGGCTACGCAAGAAACTTGTAAGCTACTTCAATTCACATATAAATGATGTTGTGGACTCATAGAACGATAGTCAATGTCACTATACGAGGAAAACACAATCAGTTCTTTCTTAGTCTTCCACTCTCCCTAGAAACGTGAAAACATTCAAGTTGAACAAACTACCTTGTAATCAATATTAGCTGTGAAAAAATATCTGAAAATGATTTCCTTAAATATATGAAATTAAAAAACATGCACGATCGAATCTCAATGCCCCTATCTGGGTGACTGGATCAGATGAGTTGTGAAATAATATAAACACAGTAAGATAACTTTGGGCATGTAGCAAATAAATACTCCTTTCGTCCCTATATTATCTTCAAACTTTCTTTTTTCGCCCATCTCAAAATTATCTTCTCTTTCCCTTTTTGCAAAGAATTTGTGGTTCACAATCATTCTTACACATTCTTACACATTTCTCTCTCCTCTGCACAACTCTCCACCACACAAAACACACTATCTTAACTTGTGTGCATTGTCAAAGGAGGAGATAATATAGGGACAGAGGGAGTATACAAAACTTCCTATTAACTTTCACTAGGTATCAGGGCCAGTAGGAGAAGGGTCATCGACATATGGAAGCTAGTGATTAGATTGCAAATGGAGGCTTACAGGTTTGACTCAAATAATTTCCACTGCATATATATTTTCTTTGGCTCAAATAAATTCAGGTGGAGTTATGAGCCACCTCAATGTCAAAGAAAAAAATCAAGTGGTCTAAGCCCATCATATGGTAGATAGAATGCATGCAAATAATATATAAAAAGATGTATACCATATGGGTGGCGGCAAAAGATAATTAAATCATTTGCGTACATCAAAGCATGAAAAGAAAAGTCCTCAAAGTCAAAATTAAAAAACAATAATAAGACCTTCAAATGAGAGAATCCATTTTTAAGAGCAACATAAAGCTTGACAACCAAGCACCTAAAATCTTGCTTGAGTCTATATAAATGTTTATTCAAGATATATGCATAGGTTCCTGAGACCGAAGAACAAAATCAAGCAGGAAATGCACAACTTAATGTACATTTCCTCATGTAAGTTGTGTGCAATTAGTTCTTGACTCTTTGTGAATGTCTTTCTAATGTAAAAGGGTTATATTAATCCTCTACTGGCTACATGGTTATTCTCCAACATCTTCAGACGAGCGCAATGGGTACAATAGTTTTCTTCTCTAGATCTTTCTAGAGTTTGATAATTTTGATTGTTATCAATCTTGGAATAAACTGTTCTATTTATGTTTCAGCATCAATCGTGCATATGGTCTCCTTATGTGCTCAGATTGGGGTGGCTTGCCCCCTCGATCTAAACCACCATCGTGCTAAGAAGATGGATGGTGTGGATTAATTTCTTCGTGGGGCTGGTGAAACCTAGATAACTTTTAAATTGACTCCTTACGTTAGATGAAAAAACCAGTAACACTACTGGCTCTAAACCACCATCGTGCTAGCAAGATGCCTTTTTTTCTCTTCTTTCAATAACTCATTAAACTGTTCCTTTATATTATAACCAAGAGTCCCATATAGAAGATTAATTTTATAGTAGAAGTAACTCAAGATCTTATATATAACTACCTCCGTCCCGTTGAAAGGTTCCCATGGCAAAACGGCACAGTTATTTAGACAATAATTAAATAAGGTAATTCAAGTATATTTTGAGAAATAATTTTTATAGGTATATACTATAATGGGGTTACTGTTGATAGATGTGATGTTATAAATGTATTATTTTTAATATTGGCTAAAGGGTCAAATAGGTACATGAACTAACTTAAAGTGTTCAATTAGCTCCTAATACAGGAGGTTAAGCCCCCCCGTCGCCAATTAGGGAGGTTCCCGGTTGAATTTTTTGATGAAATTTTTTGAGCATCTTCTTCATTCAGTCTAGTTTACCCATACCAAATTTCAGCTAAAACTTCAACCGGGAAGGTAGTCAAATGATTTTCCGAAATGTATTGCGCTGTTTAACTGCGCAGTTATCTTCAAAAAATCATTTGACTGCCTTCCCGATTGAATTTTTAGCTGAAATTTGGTATGGGTAAACTAGACTTAAGGAAGAATATGCTTAAAGAATTTCATCAAAAAATTCCCCCGGGAACCGCCCCAATTGGTGACGGCCGGGCAGAACCTCCTATATAAGGGGCTAATTGAAAACTGTAAGTTAGTTCATGTACCTATTTGACCCTTTAGCCTTTAATATTTAATGATTAAATTGTCATTTAAGATTGATAATCATTTTCTAAAATAGAAATGAGAACCTTTATATGAGACGTTCAAAAAAGGAAAGAGAGAACTTTTCTATGCGACAGAGAGAGTATTTATTACTTTTGAAAAATCAGTTTAAGAGATATATATACTTCAACACACCCCTCAATCAAAATCGGACCGGACAACTTTAATGAGTTACCCCAAATCATGAGTGTTAAACAAATAATCAAATCATAATCAAATCTCACTTTAACACTGTTGGAGGTATTGGTCCTACCAAGGTCTCTCTTCCACTTATTATGTTAAGGCCTTCACCCTATGTTTACTCCTACTTCCTACACTCTTACTTATCTAGCTAGCCTGGCTTTTCCTATCCGTTGCCAACTCTTATTGACTTGGTATTATTTGTCTCTTGGCCTTCTGACTTTTGCTAGCCTGTCTGGAGCCCCACCCTTTGTTTGTCTTTGAGACCCGTGAGCAAATAATAGCCTAATATAATTGAGTGCTCTTCTTCCCTTTTTTGAGTAGACGGTGAGTTCAATGCCAGTGAGCTCCTCTTCCTTCCTTTGTGTGTAGTTAAAGTGTGAGGGAGTGGTAAACAAGGTGAGTGGAGTGGCTAAACAATCCTGGGGTGGTGTGTGTGAGTTGTTTTGGTTGGAGGCCTGAGCTGAAATACACACCCAACAGTGGTATCAGAGCCTAGGGTTGTCGTCGCCGTCAATTTCGCTGGATTCCGCCTTCTGGAACTTCTCTGCCGCTGTCCGCCACCGTACGCCGCCGTACGTCGCCGGTGGAAGCTACTGGAAGCTCCGCCGGATCAGGACCTTAGTTCTTGGTTGCTTCTGGAACCACACCGCTTCCTGAACCGCCGTTCTTCGCCGCCCCAATTCCGTTCGATTGTTCGTGGAGGTCAGCTGTTCAATCGATCGTCGATTGAAGCCTCTGAATACCATCGCAGGGAGGCCCGCTGTTTGGATCTACGCCGCCGCAGGGAGTCGATTCGAGGTCTGAGGAACCATCGCAAGGGCTTCAATCGCCAGTTGCTGCTGCTGAATCGCCATCTTGAAGCTGAGGTCGGTCTGTTTCTCGTCGTTGATTTGCCGTGCGCTGGAAGGTCCCTGGTCGTTCGCTGGAGGTGGTGTGGGATTCTGGATACCCTCCGCCTTAGAGATTCGTCGTCCTCCTTGCAGGTCGTTTACCGCGGAAGTAAGTTCATCGTTGAGCTTGAGGCCGGATCTGGAAGTTCGTCGCTGGAAGGAGTTGTTCGTCGGTTCTAGAGTTCGAGGGTTGAGCCGCCTCTGCCTCGGAATCATCGCCGAAGCTGCTGAACCTGAACGAGGACTTGACACAGGTTCTTTCGCAGGACGCTGAAGGCAGAGGTCTGCCTAGACGGCTCGACCTGGTCATTTGTTGCACGCATTTGCTGGAGTTGCCGGAACTTGGGCTGAACAAATTGGGCTGGACCTTCAAACATTTGTTCTTGTAGCAGCACGCGAGAGGCAGACGTGAAGGTGGAGGTGGGCCGCTGACTTGGACTGCTTGAACTGATGTGGCTGCTGACTTGGATTGCTAGTCAACTGTTAGTCAAACTCGGTCAACGCCGATCAAAAGGCAGTCAACAATTCATCAACTCTGAAAAATCCCATTTTTTAAAATTGGGTGGGTAAGGTCCAAACACTCTCCTAGTGTTTGGCTGTTGTAAGTCTTCTTTATCCGAAATTTCAGTTTCTGCTTTTCAATTATTTTAAATTGTTAGAATTTGTTGTTGATTTAATATTTACTAGAATTATATTTATTTGTGCTTGTACGGAAGAATAAGAGGTTTGAACGGAGTCTTGTGCTCATTGTTATTCCCGGCTTATTCGCGCTAGTTGCTCCGTACAATTATAGCCCTATAAATATTGAATTGATTTTCTAGCTAAAGTTGCATTTTATATTTTCTTGTGTAGTGTTTCTGTGTGAAAATGTCTACTTTTAATCAGTATGGAATGACTCCATTTAATGGAAAAACTGATTTTAGCATATGGAAACAGAAAATAAAGTGCATATTAATTCAACAAATATCATATAGGGCCATTAGTGAGACCTATTTGGCTTCCGATACGGAAGAGAAAAAAGCAGAAATGAATGAAAATGCTTGTTCTACAATTTACTTGAACTTATCTGATTGTGTGCTCAGAAAAATAGGAATTTTAGAATCAACAAAATCTGTGTGGAATAAACTTGAAGAACTTTATAACGTAACCTCTTTGCCTAACCGGATGTTTTTACTTGAGAAGTTCTTCAAATTTAGACTAGATATGTCTAAGGATGTTGAAGAAAATCTAGATGTTTTTACCAAACTTATTTCGGATATTAAGTTGTGTGGTGATAAGCATATAGATGATTATTCCCGTATTGCTCTTTTAAATGTTATTCCTGATTCCTTTGGTGATGTGAAATCTGCTATTAAGTATGGTAGAGATAATGTGACTCTTGACATTGTGGTAAATGGTCTTAAGAGTAAGGAATTAGATTTAAAACAGATGTGTGAGGGTAGAAAATCCGATGAGGTTATGCATGTGAGGGGTAGAGAAAATAATAGCAGACGACATAGATCTAAGTATAGGTCTAATTCGAGGCGTTGCTATTATTGTCATGAACCTGGTCATTTCATAAGAGACTGTCCTAAATCTAAGAAAAATGAGCATAGTGAGCATGCTAATTTGACTACGTGTGTAGATGATTTAGGTGATGTCTTTATGATGAGTAATCTATGTGATTTTGACTACTTGAGTTCTGTGATATCTGATTCTTTGGGTAAATTAGATTGGGTGGTAAATTCTGATTGTACTTTTCATATGTCCCCTTTGAAAAATGTTTTTTCAAACTATAGAGATATTGAG